TTTTGAGTATATTTATTTGATTTTATGGGATATTTATGGGATATTTATCGGATTGTATTGGATATTTATCGGGTTTTATGGGATATTTATCAGATTTTATGGGATATTTATTGAGATTTTTAGGATATTTATCAGATTTTATGGGGTATTTATCGGCTATTTATGGGATATTTATCGGATTTCAATGGATATTGATCGGATTTTCGGATTTTATGGGATATATCTATTTATGGGATATTTGTCGGATTTTATGGGATATTGATCGGATTTTATGGTATTTTTATCGGATATTTATGGGATATTTATCGGATATTTATGGGATATTGATCGGATTTTGTGTGATATATTTATCAAATATTTATGCGATATTTATCGGATTTTATGGGGTATTTATCGGATCTTATGGGATGTTTATCGGGTATTTATGGGATATTTATCGTTGGATTTTATTGGATATTTATCGGATATTTATGGGATATTTATCAGATTTTATGGGATATTTATCGGATTGTATGGGATATTTACGGGATTTTGATCGGATTTCATGGGATTTTTGAAGATTTACAGGATTTGATTGATTTTGGTGGTTTATGGAGATTACAAATTTCAAGAAAGTTTTACCGGAAAAAATTGCGGGTTTAATGTGGTTTCACACGCACAAATATCATGAATGATGATTTCCGCAACAGAAACGGTGATTGGTTGGTTGAACATGGCTGGGAAATCAATTTCTGATGAGCAAAACAGGAAATCAATTTCTGGTATGCATGTGGATGGGGGTATCAACTGCATCTTACCAGGCAAAATGGGAGGTGACCGTGTTTTTTTTTTGAATCGGCCAGGGTGTACCGTTTGCCCAGACTGAATTGGATCATGTCTTGACAAATCGAGGTCTCCTAAAATGGGGGTCTATACCCCAAAATCATCCATTTTAATCGGATTTTCCGTTACAAACCATCCAGCTATTGGGTTACCCCCATTTATGGAAACCCCCAAATGGCTATAACCATGGTATTTCCCGTGATCATTTTGCCCACATCTCTGGTCCTTCAGATATATATATATATCTATCTATCTATCTATCTATACACTTTGAATGTATTCCCCAATTGATATACCTTGGACTTTCGCAAACATGAGTCCAGATTATCAGTCACATCCCTCCAGTGCAGTTTGCGAACTGGAAACCATGGCCCATTTTGTCCGATGATTTTATTTATTGACATGGTGATTTGGCATAGCTATGCTCTGTTAGTGTACCAGAGGGTATCATGCCCAATTTTTGCTGCTTAAATTGCATCATGAACGCTCATGAAATTGGGTACTATATCAATATCCATCTAAATCCATCTAAATCACCAAACAGTTGATGGCTACCATAGATTCTGGTCATATTCCACAGCTCCCTACATTCCCATGTTCGCCTCATCTGAGACGCCTTGGTCATCACAGAATTCATGGCGCCTCGGTGGACTGAAGAAGTACATGGATACCAGTGGACCCGAAAATGGGAATTGAACCATCAAAAGTCGGGGCTTTTTCACCATTTTTTAACCATGAAAAGTTAAGATTTAACCATGAACAATTGGGATTGAACTATCAAAAGTTGGGGTTGAACCATCAAATATGGGGATCTAAGCGTATCTAACACATCAATGCTGGATTTGAATTTGAAGGTGCTGTATACTCACAAAATGGCAGGTGCTTGGGAGGATGATGAACCGCTGGATTTTGGGGAACCCCATTTCCAAACATATCATCACAATCCCACGACCAGAAATGGGTACCAACGGACCCACAAAACTGGTCATGTTTGGTCAATGACTGGTCAATGACTGGTTGGTGGTTGACCAACCCCTCTGAAAAATATGAGTTCGTCAGTTGGGATGATGACAGTCCCAATATATGGAAAAAATAAAATTCATATTCCAAACCACCAACCAGCTGATGTCGAATCGTAGCCATTCTCAAAAGATCTGTGCCACTATCTCCCCCCTTGTATCGCGGTGATAAGGGGTTATTTGGTTAGTGGATTTATAGCCCAGTGAAAGTCTGATGGTACACAACCCCAAACAAAAGATTGGATTGCGGGAATGTTTGGTATAAGACACGACCATCGGAAACAAAATCACTTTGAAAAAATCGTCCTGAATAATTATAACATACTGTATAAACGGTTAGTGTAATCACCATCAATAAATTCACCTTAAACCAAAAAAACACCGCGCTCAAAAAAAAGTTGTGCCTCATTGTTTGGTCCGATAAAACCACAAAACTTTCCGTGAAGGCTGTCTCTGACTCTATCAATCTACAGTACCATAATTTACCTATCTATATATCAATGCAGCAATCGATCTATGTATATACATGGTGTGATGGGAATCCGACTAAGATTTGTTTGCCTCCAACAAAAATAAACCCTGCCATGCCTTTGGATGGGGAAATGGTAATACCGTAGTTATAAAATATAATTTTGCGATGTTGGTATCAAATAAATTTGAAGTCTAAGATGAAATAAAAACATTCCGTGTATATATATATATAAATGAATTAATTTTGTTCTTCCTATTCAATTGCGTCATCTAACCGTGAATGCAAACTCAAGACTGTCGGGGCAAATTACGAATATATATATATATATACGGATGGTTCAAAATATACGGTTGATACCACGTTTGAAAATGTTTGGGTATATTTGCGGGAGAGGTCCATCATAAACGCCTTTTTTGCAGATGGTTCTGAATACCCTTGGTATTCTAAAATCACATACAATATGGTAACCCCAAATTGACATTGATTGTCAGCACCCTCTAGTAATCAAATTTGGCATTTCAACATCCTCTATAAATGAAGGTTACCCGAGGGCCTCGGCCCGAGGGGCGACTCGCTGGGGAAAGAAGGCGGGGGAGGAAGCGAGCGATGAGCTTGAGCCGCTTTGGAACTGCACAAAGGTATGAAGGGCCATGGAGTTAGTAACTTTAACTGGCTAGTAAACCCTTATATTAAAAGGTAAATATACATCTGTAGAAAAAACAAACCGAAATATAAATAAAATAAATTTTGAATAAATATAATATATATTGAGTGTTTTCAAAAGGCTTGGTAGTCCGGGACCATTTCCGAAACCTTAAAATTGTTCATAATTGTTCAAAATTGTTTCAACAATTGTTTAAAATTGTTCAAAATTGTTTCAACAATTGTTTTAAATTGGTCAAAATTGTTTCAACAATTGTTTTAAATTGGTCAAAATTGTTTCAACAATTGTTTAAAATTGTTCAAAATTGTTTCAACAATTGTTTAAATTTTGTGAAAATTGTTCAAAATTGTTTCAACAATTGTTTAAAATTGTTCAAAATTGTTTCAACAATTGTTTTAAATTGTTCAAAATTGTTTCAACAATTGTTTTAAATTGTTTAAAATTGTTTCAGCAATTGTTCAAAATTGTTTCAACAAGTGTTTCAATTCTTGTATTTTCTTCAACACTTGTCTCAACAATTCTTCAAACTTTGTTGCTAAATGTTTCAACACATGTTTCAATTTGTTTAAAACTAAAACTGTTTCAACGCTTGTTTAAACTTGCTCATTACCTAGCCTAGAACTGTTTCAAAAACTTCTTTTGGATCTATCATGAACGCAAAAAATGGTTCTACCCCTTTCAACACAGAATGCTACTTGTTCCACCTGCTGTTGACAACGTTAGGTCTGCCAAAGGCAACATCACTTTCCACACCTGCTATCCCCTGGGAAGACTGCGCTCTGGCTGCTGTTTTTTTTTTCTGAAGCTGGCTCACGCTCAGGAGTATCTATCCATGCCTGCCCGGCTCCTTTGCGCCTCAGCTGTGTGCTGTGGCACACATCACGGCAGAGAAGACATCTTCAGGTTCCATTACTTTGGCTCCGCTTCCAGCTGAGCGCTGTTTTGTGGCCAAGTTGCCTTGGTTCGGTGTCACTTTTCGTTTGCCACATGCACTGAGTGCTGTTTTACGATCTAATTCCCTTGGTGTGGTATTGCTTTTCTTGCCACGCGCGCTGAGCGCCGTCTAGTAGTCAAGGTCCAATGTCCATTGGTTTGGCGTGACTTTTCTTGCCAACCGCACTGTGCTGTTTTGGTAAGGCCAGCATTGCGGAGCGCCTTTTTTGTAACATGGTCCGAGACCTGCTGCGCTGCTAGTAAAACATGGCCACACGGCCTTGTAATGGGAGGCGCGCAGCATAAAGAACCAGACCAAAGGTCGCTAACCATCGATCTGACCCTGCTGCGGGTTTACTGGCTCAGGCTCTAACGGCCTCCAAAGCTCGCACAGGCAAATAAGGAGATGGATCCAAAGCAGGACCAATATGAATACAATCTCAATTGCCAGCAGTACATAGTAAAGGGTCCAGCTCATGGCCCACGAGGCACTGGCAAAGTCACAGGGGGATTAAGCAAGTGGATAGAGCCGCTCAAGCTACAGGGGAAGGAACAAGGCATATAAGTTGCTTGGCTCTTGTTGGCTCGCACGTGACAGCTGAAGGAACAACTGTTGCGACTGCCACTGGCAAGCAAAGCACAGAAAAAATCTTGAAGATTTGCAAAACAAAACCTTTGAATTATACATTTTTCTTTCTAATTCAACCCAAGCGTTGCAAACATCACCTTTGCTGGCCACCTCAAGATGTGAGATTCAAGATTGCCAAATCTAGCAAGAGTAGCGCTGACACAACATGAGCAACTAAAGCTCGGCTGCAAGTCTTTTTCTGCGCAAAGCGAAGCTTCTACAAAAGTAGCGGGCGCTGGCTGCGACAAATTTGCTGCAAACCAGGGCTGAGCCCGCAGCTTTCCAATTTTCACAAATCAGCGAGGATTCCCAATGCAGAGAGAGCATCGGCTGTTTCTTCCCGTGTGGACGCTCGGGAATCAGGCCTGAACAGCAGGGAGGCCACAGCACTCTGCACAATCGCAAGCAACACTGGCAGAGCCATGGCATTCCCTGCAAGGTCAGCCATCAAACTTTCTGTCAGCCACTTCCTTCCTGGGCCAGACCGCTTTCGGACTGAGCCCCTTGCCGCAGAAGAGCATTCGTAGACATCGATGCCTTCTGTCTCTACCAGCTTCAGAAACAGAGGTGCTGGAAATCCTTGAAACAAAAGGGCTTCTTGACCCAACATCAATCTTGGAGGCTTAACCAGCTCGACAAAGAGCAGCTGACCTGGAAGCATTGTTGGGGCAATGTGCTTCTTGGTATCTTTGCACCAGCTGGCAGTGTGCACTCGTCCAAGCGATTGGGAAACATTTCTGAAGCCAGCATCCGGGGCTTGAGCCCTGGACAAAGCCAGCACGTCCTGTTCCCTGGCTGTCAAGGTTTCAAACCACGGATTCAACTTGAGTTCTTCAGGGTATGGCTGTCCCCATCGCAACCCTTCAGCTTCTGCAAACTTCATGTGTTGGTCTGCCCAATTGCCCGAAGACTTGGGGCTCTTCGATGCAGCCTTGGCGCTCTTCTCTTTCCTCTCCCCCAGAAAGGCTTCAACCTCGCCTGAGGCGGGATTTAGCAGCAAATCCTTGGCACAGGGCGGGGATCTCAGACAGGAGGCTACCATGTTGTTGAACATTTCAAAAGACTCGGTCAAAGACCTGGCTTGAGTGTGAAGCTTTGGGTTCACTTGGCGCACAAACAAAATATAAAGCCGGCGCCTTCTGGCAGGCAAGCCGAAGGACGAAGCATCTGTTCGCAAAGGCTGGCCGCTATAGCCCAATTCTTTCATGGTTTGCATCAAGACATCCAAGTTGGATTGGGCATGTGCCCCAATTTGCTCCTCAAGCCCATCAACATTTTCGTACGTCACCAGCCCAGGTGAGTGAGCTGCAACATAGCTGGTAAAACCGTGGTAAGTCTGCGCTGAGCCTCCCAATGAATTGCCCTGCTGGAACACCAACTTTTGTGTCTCCTTCTTTGGATTGGCCTTGCTGAAATCTTTGCAGGAGGACCCAATGACCAAAAGGTCACACCCAGGCACCGGGCAAAGTTTGCCATGAACAACGCAATGAGCTTCACAGCCGCCCAGCGTCTCGATGTCCTGGAAGATGCAGCTTCCAAGTTGAAGCAGCTCGCTTTCCCCGTCACTGCCTTCGGAAGCCGACTTCAAAGGGCTGAGGGCTGGCATCAAAGGTCCACAATCTAAAACCGCTTGAATCCAACGCTGTTTGTCCTTGTTGCTCTCGCATGAGAAAAGGTGCTTCACGGAGAGCCGGAATCCGCAGGTCTCCGTGCTAAGGCTGTATGCTCTGGAAAGCGCTTCCATGACATAGAAAGCGCCCTCTGAGCCACTGCAAGCCGATGCCCATGTCAGAGACACGCAAGAGGCAACTTCAGCTTGTTCTGCAAACCTGCCTGGAAACATGGTTGCAAAACCTTTCAAATTCTCTTGTGCAAATTCATACAGGGCTTCGCCTGACGCAAGGGATTCTGCGTCTGCAACACGGCTAGAAGCCTGCTTAACCAACTCCAGGTCAAGAACCGCCTCTGCCTCTGATGCATGAGAGTCGCTTTTCTTGAGCACCCTGGATGGGGCCATGGCAAGAACGGCGGCGAAGAATCTCGGGAAATTGAATTAGATACTGTTTAAATGTATCTGCATCGATGTACCAACAACAGATTGTTATAAATGTTTCTTGCTTGGCTGTCGGCATTTTACCGGTCGTGCATATTGAAAAATGTCTGCATTTCAAAGGCGCTTGCTTCACAAACTTGAGCCAGCTGTGTGACAGGAAGCTGGCAAGGCCTTTTAGCACGGCACTTGGACAACACAGAAGTTGATCTGTTTGATTCCAGTGCTGCGGTTTCAATAGATCATGAGCAGAATAAACAAGGACAAATCAAACCTTAGCTGTGGCATGTTTAGCAAACTCTGCCACTAGCATAGAACATGAAATAAACTGATGAACTGAAGCAAGGAAACTGCTGGCAATTTTTTCTTTCAGCTGCTGTCAGTCTTCAAAAATGCGCGGCAGGCGGGCGTCCAATCACTGGCCCCTGCGGCCTCTGCCCTTGCCTCGTCCACGTCCACGCCCATTGCCTGCGCCAGACTCTGTCTCAGCCTTGCGCTTCTTGGAAGTAGGCTCCTTGTCCTCTTCTGCCATGTCCCTGTCGCCCTCCTCACTAGTCTTAGCTTTCTTTGTCTTCTTGGCTTTGGACGCTTCCTTTTTCTCTTTGTTTCCTTTTGCTTCTCCTTCTTCTCTTTCTCTTTTTTGTTTTTTTTGTCTTTTTTGTCTTTCTTGTCTTTCTCTTTTCCCTTCTCCTCATTGCTCTTGTCAGTGGGACTTGCCTCCTTCGCAATGGAGGCGCTGCCAGCATCAGGGGTCTTGTGGTGTGCAGACGCCTCATTCAAAACGTTCTGGGCCCTGTGCAACAGCTCAGCATCCGGCTTTTCACAGAGCTTCAGTGCGGCGACTTTCTGTTTGAGGGCTTCTGCCACGCTCTGCAGTTGCTTCCTGATCATCTTCCCTTCATCATTTGCCGAGCACAATGACCCGTTGCGGAGAAGACACAAACCAGCCACCATGGCGACATGGACCGAGCCGCAGGCTGCTGACTTGAGCACCTTTTCGGTGAAACCGGCTTCTCCGCCTTCGTACTTGTGAAACAAAGCGCTGACGCCATTATGCCCTGGGTTGCCTGGTAGGCCGATGTCAGACAGCTGCTTCACAGCTGACACACCCTTCAGCCTCACCTTCTCGTTCTGGCCAATTTGCGCGACCAGGTCGGCGACTTGCTTTGTCACCTTGGCACCCTCTGTCCTGTATTCCGCTTCTTTGCAGCTGGGGTCGGGCAACTTTGCCAGCAAGCTCTCTAGCTGCGAGGCTGCATCCCAAGCGGTTGCGAACTCCTTCTCACAAGCCTTGGACAAGCTTTGTGTGATCTGTGCTACAGTACTGGTCAACCATGCCAATGTGTCAGGGTGGCTAAAAGTAACCTGTTCCATGTCTTTGACCAACTTAGCGGAGGCCAGGCCTTCCCGCACTTGCTCCAAGAGCGGATTCAGCAAGAGCCAAAATTTTTGCAGCACTGCAGACAGCTGACACATCACCAGCGGATCTTCGGAAGGGATCGGAAATTCTGCCACCTGCAGCTATCCAAGAAAGAAAGCAAAGCTGGTGGTGTAGTGCCGTAGCAGCTTGTTTCCATGCCAGCCACATTAAATCGCACATACATATCATATCGAATCATAACATACTAGACTATACTATACTGTTTTCTTAAACAGCTCAAACTTAAACTGAAATTCAAAAACCCATGCATGCCATGCCCCGTGTCACAACTGGGCCGCTTGGATTGCACAACCATGCTGCACATACAGGAGGGCCTGCAGAAACAAGTCGACAACAGCCTTCATTTCGTGAGAGGCAGGGATGCTCTGCAGCGTTTGGTCCCGCACTTGCTTGCTGAGGCCAGCCCCTAAAAGACCCTTGACGCATTTTGACACGATTGGCCCCACCCTTTCCAAACCTTTTGAGAATAGACTCTCCAGGTCATGTTGAATGGGTGACAGAAACTGATCTTTGAATTTCTCAGCTACCCCTTCAGGCACGAAGCGTTGCACCAGGGCAACGCCCGAATCGGACCACTTCTGCAATGTCTCTGGCGACGCTGCTGGAACAGGAGGCAGATGGGAGAATGCCTTGTGCTTGTAGAAAACATGCTTGGCAACGTCAGCTGCCAGCTCAGACGCTGCTTTGAACTTGGCAACTTCATCGGCGGCTGCCGTCACCTTTGCCCAGACTTTGTGCTGCACAAAAGCTGTGGCCTTGAAGGAGAGCAAGGACTCATCTAAGTTGAGAAGGGCAAAGGCACCGCTGGCAAGGCTGACCAAACAGTCATTCGCCAAGGCCTCACAAAAATAAGTCCTCAGGATTGCAAGCGATGCAGGCAGCTGCAAGCAGCAGCTGGAAGGATGTCAGAGGGAAAAAAAATGCAGAGAAGTGCTGGAATCATTGGGCACCTTGAACCTAGTGATGCACAGGCCTGCAAACATGAAAACAGTGGCCGCCACTACCAATGAAGAAACATATGTCTATATACTAGCTCCTGGGGGACAAAACATAGAAAAAAAAACTGCCCACAACTGCTTCACACAACTTCATGCCAAGTCGAGGCAGCCATTGCAGCCAAAAGTCAGATGGCTCTCCATGTTGTCCTTGCACACGATCCGCACCAGGTCAACAGACCGCTCGCTGACCTGCCTTTCCAACCTTTCCAGATCAACCAGCAAGCGACTTGAGATCTGGTCCCGCTTCTTCTTTTTCGACTCCTGAAAAAACGTGGTTTGCTTGGCGGCGTCCAAAGCTTCCACTGCTGGCTCAATCCGCTCCTGTACCGCAAGAATGCCGGACTCAGCCTCTGGAGGGCTTTGCTTAGGCCAGGCGGCCAAGTGAGACACTGCTTTCTGCAAAACTTCCACCTTCTCTTCAAAAATCCTCTCTTTGTCCCCTTGCTCCACACGCAACTGGGCCACAGAAAGGAAAGCCTTTCCGGTGTCGTGTTGCAAGAAAAATTTCTGCAAAGCCGGGGCAGCGTCAAGCTTGTCTTTTTCCAAGCCCGTCAAGGCTTTAACCTCCTCCACCAGCATTCCAACATGGTCCTGCCCCAGCAAACAACGCACCGTCTTGACAGAGTCTGCCAGCTCCCTTGCCATGAAGTTTTGGCCATCCTTGTCACATGCTTTTGCTATCGCATCTGCCAAATCTAAACATTCACCCATTCTGGGAACTTCGCCACCTAGCTCTGGGACAGCCTTTCCAGGGGCGAGGAGAGCCAACTCACTGGCAGGAATTGCTCGCAAGCAAGCAAGCATGCGGTGCTCCACTTCCAGGGCGCTTTCTTTGGCCGCCGCTTCGGTTCCCAACAAGGCAGCCAACTGCTTCATTGGTTCGGACGGCAACGCAAATGCCTGGCAGAACCCGCTGTACTTCCCATACAGAAACTCTTTCTGGCTCTGAGCAACAACAAGCTTCAACCAATATAATGGACCCAGCTGAACACCACCAGCGGAAACTGCGTCATGGGCACTGATGTAAGCATCCGGGTCCAAGGTAGGAGCAATGACGTTTGAAAGAAGCTTCGCTGAAGCCTGGGCCAGGTTTCCAAGATCCTGCAAGGTGTCTAACTGCTTCTCAAAGGAATCCCGGTTGTTTGACTTTCCAACTCTGGTCACTGTGTCCTTTGCTTTTCTCGCTACTGTGTTGCAAGTGGAAATTCTTTGGGCAGCCTCCAAACGAAACTCTTTCATCTGGGTGGTGCTCTGCGGCTTGTCATCGAAACTTACTTCAGCAAGTTTCTGTTTTGCATCAGAAACGGCAGCTTCCAAAGTCTTCAAAGTGCGGTTGGCACGGCCATCCAAGGAAAGCATCCCATTGCTCTCAGGCACAGAGGTTGGGGCAAGGCTGGAAGCCTGTGTTGCCTTTGGCGTTTTCGCAATGCCGCTGGCGTGCCCTTTCTTTTCTTGCCTTGGCAACGCAGACGCGGTACTTGGCTGTTTGGGCGCCTCCTTTGCTTTGGCTTTGGCCTTCGCCTTGGCTGGCTTTGCGCTGCTCTCACCAGGCGTCTCCTTGCTTGCGCCTTTAACCCCTGAAGATTGCAGCAACTCCAAGCCTGCTGCTGTATCCTCCTCCTCTGAGGAGGTGCTTGACCAGGCGGAATTTTCTTCAACGCTGTCAGTGTCCTTCCCTTCTGCGCCAGCTGCTCCAGCTGCAGCCGGAACCTCAGCAGAGCTGGCAGCTGCGCTGCTCTGTGAGCGCACAACCTGGACCAAGTCCGCAAAAGTCATGTCACTCTCTGAGGCCTTCACTGAAGCGGCGTCTCTCTCCTTGGCCTGCTGCTGCAGTGTCTGCAGGGCGGCTTGCTTCTTTGCTTGGAATGCTTCGTCTGCAAAAATTGCTTGCTGCCCATCATCTTCAATGACTCGCTCCTCAACCCCAGTGTCTTCATAAGCTTCGAAGTCATACACACCTTCTTGCCCCACTGTGCGCCACACACCTTTCTTCATCACTCCACCGATCAAATGGTCCACCTCCTTAGTTGGGTCCCATTCGCCGTGGCGCTTGCTGTCCCAATGGGTGCTGAGAACAAACTGCTTCTTTGGCCCTGTCAACTTGCCACCCTGTTTCTTCGAAATCACAAGCTCTCTTTGAGTTTTCAGCAACTCCTCTTTGTCCTGAAGCTTGAACTTGTCAGGGTTGTCATGGTGCTGCTTCAGCCACTGCTTCACAGCAGCTAAGAAGTCCTTGTGCTCGTGCTGGTTCTGCTTCTGGCTGATGTGTTTGTAGTACTCAGCATATGTCTTGTACCTCCTGTGCTTACCAAGCAGCCGAAAGACATTGAAGCAAGGCAAGCAGCACTTACCTTCCGGAACACGCACAGAGTGCTCACGCAATTTCCTGTGCTTGGCCCAAGGCCTGTAAGGGAGAAACCCTTCAGCTTCATGAGGTTCCTGGACCAAGGGGTTGGGGTCAGTGCTCTTGGCAGAGCACAAGCAGCACTCACAGGGCTTGCTATACTCAATTGAAATCGGAAACACTTCACTTCCGCCAGCTGTGCTGGCGGCCTGGCTCCTCTTGACACCGCGCGGTCTAGCAGGCCCATTGCTAGAACTGCTGGAGTCACTGAGGCCTGGATCCGGCTCCATGGCAGCTTGGAACTGGTGTGGATCCAACTCTCGGAAACCTTGAACGCACAAACTGCTTACGGTGTAAATGCGGGAAATGTAATTTCAGGGTTTGGAAGAAATATTGAGAAATATTGAAAATTCTTGCAAACATTTGCAAAAAGAATTGCAAAACGTTTTCTCTACGAATGATTTGTAGAGATTTTGAACAGCATTCAAACATTATGTATTAGTTTTAAATACAAACTAAAAAAAAGAAAACTTTTCTCTACGAATGATTTGTAGAGATTTTGACTACAAAACATTTCATAATTGTTTGGAAATATGTTTCCAAAAGATTCAAAAATTATACATAATATATTAAAAAATATCATATTTCGAGAACTATTTTTGTCGCAGCTGATGGATTGTTGGAGGCGCAAGCTTCAAAAACACAACTAGACCTTGACTCATGTGCTGATTGGACCACCTTCATGCAAGTTGGATTTCCCTAGCCAAGCCTAAGGCTTAAAGTTAAAGGCAACCTGCTCACAGAATGACGGGAAAGCGTGCTTTTTTTTTCAGCAAAGGCAGCCTGTCTGTCTAAAGCAGCCTCTGGTTTTCCCGAGCTGAAATCTACCAGGCGCAGGCCGCCCAAAGACAGGTGCATTGAGCGGCCCTGCCCCTCAGGCCAATCACTGTCTTGCAACCCGGCTAGAAGCCAACGTTTGAGACGGAGCCGGCAGTCTTCCTCGGAAAGCTCGGATGTTGTCAAAGCTTTTCTGCAATAGATTCCTGGCCCGTCCTCTGAATTGCGATGTAAGCCACAGATAGCTCCATAGCCTGTTTGCACACCTTGGCTGTAGATGGGCCCCAAATGAAATACGCCCCATGCTTCACTCCTTCGCTGGCGGGTTGCTTTTGCATTTGTCACCTCTGCAGAGCAGGCCGGTTTGATTCTGAGAGGGGCTTGAACATGTGGAGCTGGAGGGGGCTCTGCTTTGGATTCCTCGTTAAATTGTCTGGCAAAGCTTCTTGGGTCAAAGTAATCTGCCAGTTCTGGCCTTGCCAAGTTTCCAGACGGTGTTCCGTCCTCTGCATCGGTGTTGTAGCCACTTGCCTCACTGTTGTTGGATCCATGCTCGGATTCAGAATCGACGCCCAGCAATCGTCTTTCCGCTGACAGGGCATGTGAAGCTTTGAGTCGCTTCGCTGACCGGGGGCCCATTTCTTTGGCCCCATTCTGGGACTGTTGATTTGCGGTCCGCTTCTTGTGGTTGCCCAGCAAGTGGCTGAGAGCTTGTAGGGCGTTTGAAACTTCAAGTGCTTCTTGTGCCTTTGTCTCAAAAGAGCTCTCTTCAAAAGCCGTTACAGCTACCACATCGAAACGAACCAAAGACAGAACCTTGCCCACTTCCAGAAAGTGAAAAGACCAGTCAGACGCAAGCTGCGCCAGTCTGACAAATAAGGCCCTGTCACTTGTCAAATCAAGATGAGGAGCTTTGCCCTCACCAAAGTAACCTCCGGCACAATCGCTGAACAACAAACTGAAGACTACGCCTTGCTCTGCCAAGCCGGGTAAACTGACCCTATGAAGTACAAGCAAAGCAGCCTCCCAAGGAGCCCTCCTGGTGTGAAACATCACCGCAACATCTTTTGAAACATTGGCGGCTTCTGAACGCAGAGACAACAGGAGCACTTCCTTTGCTACAGCCTTTGGCTTTGGAGCATGATGTTTGACGATGAACCAGAAGCGGTCATGCAAGGAAGTCACCACGGCCAAGCCGGCATCTGGCAAGGTATGCATGCATCCGTCCTTGGGGCAGTTTGGCATTAAAGGATATGGCTCCCTTGGCGCACCAGCAAACGCATCAGCATTTTCAGGCAAAAGACGGTTGTAGTCATTGTTAAACTGAGCAGACATGGTGTTCATTTGGCTTTGATTGCTAAGGACAACATGGCGGGCAAGTGGGAAACCATCAGGTGTACCAACACCGCAAGGACTGCCAGCAGGGAGAGCATCGCCCCCTTCTGTGGCTGCAGCTGCTTGGGATGCGGCCAAAGAAGCTGCTACATTCCTAGCTTGCGCCAAGCGCGAGTATCTCTTTTTTTCTTCAAGGGTGCAACCTCGCCAGGCCCTCAAGGCAGCTCTTTGCCGTTCCTGCAAAGTTCCCCCAAGATTTTGCAACAGATACTCTTGGCTGAACACATGCCAACCATTTGCGCATTTGCCTTTTGTTCTTGAATGGCTCCAAGCTGGCCTGCTGATATTGCGTTTTGTTGCTGCCTGTTGTTTCAAAACACGCTTCCGCCACAGCTGGGTGCTTTGCTGGAAGCGGCCTGATATATGTTTGGCAGCAATGCTGCTCAGTTTCGGGCTGCGCCCCTTCACATCGGCCCACTCAGAAAGCCTGGAAAACACCCGCTCAATGAATGTGCTGGTTGGAACCACACGCTGCAGCACGGCTTCCAAGAATTTGAGCGTGCCTGGTTCCAGCATTGCATGCTGTGGAACAGTGTCACGGAGTTGGCGAGCAAAAGCATCAAGCTGGCAATCGTTGCAACTGAACAAGGACCGCACGCAATCTTGCTTCTCACTCAAGCTCACCTCTGGATCGACCAAAGGCTCCAATGCCCAAGGGTACTGCTGGAAAGGGTAAACAAGCTTTCTCCACAATTGGCCCACAACCAAGCACAAAGTGCGACGCGTGATTCTCAGCCGTTCTTGGTTCCAAGAAAGAACAGGGCCAAAGGCCAGAATAACTGGATCCCAACCCATGCCTGCAGGCAGGTGAGCTAGCTCACTGATAGAATCCAAGGCTTTCAATGCAGGGCTCAGGGATGCTCTGCAGAAACATGCCATTGACAGCGGTCTCAGTTCAGCATCTTCAAATAAATCTAGCACCTCTTCCTCATCATCTACAGCGTCAGCTTCAACGCGCTCAGAGAGCCAAGTTGCGTGCTTGAAAAGTGCAAAATGCACCCTCATGATCGGCTTTGTCAGCACGCACCATAAACAAGTCATCCAATTGCTTTGTTGGTCAGACAGGAAAAAGCAAGCCTTCCGCACTCTCAGCCTGGCAAGTTTTCGCCAAGCTTTGCTTTCATCAACTGGGACGCCCACAGCTGCCCCCTCATCCTCTGAACCGGAATCGTCCTCAGGGGGCGGGCAAAGCTCCTTGCAGGCCTGTGGAACAAGATTGCAAAAACTTTGCAACACGGCAACATGCCTGACACAGGGCGCTACTTTTGTCCACTTGTTCATAGCAGGAACGGAGATACAAGTGAGTAGCTTGGACGTCAGAAGCTCCATACCCCTCTCAACACTGGCGTCTCTGTCCGTGCAGCACCCTTGGCAAACATGCGCTGGTGGTCCTGAAGAAGGAGGAGGCTGGCATCACGGTAGGACCGATCAATGGTGAGCTACTATGGGACCTGTGGGGGGCTAGGAATTAATACTATAGGCTATAGGTAATATAAAATCGAATCAATCAATCTAAACCCATTTGATAGTTCAGCATGGGGCCTATGACGGTGACTCAACAAAAATGCAAAGACAGCCAGTGGGGACACAAATTCCGATTCAAAGGAGATAAAAAATAATAAGCCTATAATTCCAGAATAACCAATGAACTACGAACAATCAGCTTCAGAAAGGGCGCAAACAACTATGATTCAACTGGTGAGAAATAAACAAAATGTAACTGTATAATTATCTGTATACTTACCGAAATTGATCATGGAACCACACAACACATATCGGAATCTACCTAAACATTCTGGACCCTACCATTTGTGTTGACTTTTTATGGAAAATCCCACGCCACACCTTTCTGCCCCAGCCCTGCTTGCACCCTTTTTTCACACACAGGCGTCTGTCTCACGCAGCCAAATCTGCCGCCAAAAGCAGCAGCAAAGCCGTAGTGCAGACACCTGGTCAGAGACCGCCAGCTGTTGAAAATGTGGCTCAACTAGCCTTGGTTGGGAACCAGGCTAGAAGCCGTGCATGCAAGCCAAGCAGCAGCAGCTGACAGTGGAAGAAGCCAAAAGCCATTGGCTCACTCAGGTGTACCAATAGCGGCGCTGCTTTGGATTGGGGCATTGCTCCTCTGCTCCCCATGACTTCAAATAGCTCGCCACTTGAAAGTTGGTATTCAAGGCAAGGTCCACAGCCCCTGCACCTCGCTTGCCAGACCTGGTATTCAGCATGTTGCTCACCAGGCGGAACGCCGAGTCGGATTCTCCAGCTTTCTTATACGTGGTCCAGCAAATCTTTTTGATGGCCATGAGGTTTGCCTGGGCAGCTGCCAAGTGAGCAGCCGTTTGGCCGTTGTAGGCCTGGGCACAGATTGACTGAACACTCATCACATGAAGGAGAAGTCGCAGTATGCGCTGGTAAATGTCCTCTCCAACAGAGTGCACGGGCGTGTCCATGAGAACCATGAGAGGCGTCCAGCGCGCTGGGCGGGCATCAATGCCCGTTGTTTTTTCTGCAAGCTCAGGGCAGCGTTGCAAAAGAAGATCCACAATGTTGGCCTGGCCAGTCCTGACAGCATGGTGAATCAAGGACATGCCTTGGCTGTCGCAAACTTCCGTCAGCACTGGTACTGGCAGCGCAGCCAACTGAGCTTCGAAGCCAGGGTCCCGGTTCAACAAGGCATCAAGCAACTGAGACCTTTGGTTATCCGAAACACGTTGAGCCTCAATCTTTTCCAGCTTTGCAAGAAGGGACTGGTGGGACACCTTCTGGGCTTCCAGCAAGTCCAACAAGCTTTGGGAAGCCTGGTCAGACAAATTTCCCAGCTCTTCCTGAGCTTTGGCCTTCTCACCAGCTGGAACAGCCTGAGCAATGGAGGCTGGTCGCTCTTCATCAGGATCATAATCGACTTCCATACCTGGGAAGGCGCCGGTCATCCAGAACAAAAAGATATGTGGGAAAAACAGGCAACCTGTAGGATTGAATATATATATATATATTATTATATAATTATATAATTATAAACTATTTATATGGTCTCTGTGTGTGTGATATGTGACAAATGGGGATTATGAAAACTGAACATCATTGTTGCACAACATAAACAGGAACTACAAAATTACATTTGTCAAATGACAGACAACTATATCACTATATCGGTTTATGATGTCAAATGTCTAAAAGGGCTTCATAAAGGCAGCAAGATGGAAAATTAGCTGGGCGACCATCTGGCGCAGCACCCTCCTTCGAGCCATCAACGGCAGGCGCAGCCTTCGAGCCATGAGTCGCTTCCTCAGCTGGGGCCTCGGCACCTGGCGCTGGGGCCGCATCCCCTTCCACCTTCGCCTTCTTGGGATCAGGCTCATCATTTGGCTCACCTGCCTTGTTTTCTAAGCTTGGCTCTTTTGCCTGCTGGCCAGCCAACGACGCCTGAGGCGCACCAGCCTCAGCAGAAGCGCTTGCAGGCGCAGCTGTCAACGACAGCTCGTCTCCCACCACAACAGCTGCTGGGTGCCCAGAAGCGTCTTTCAGCGTCAAACCAGGCTCAAAGCCGCCAGAGCTTGAAACATGATTTTCCAACTTGAGGGTCAAGTCCGTCAAGTCTTCAATCAGCATCCGGAGCTTGCGGCGCCGCAGCTCAGAGCCTTCGCCTGCACTGCCACTACGTGGCGTAGACGCCGGGCTCTCCACAAAAAGCCACGAAGCACTTCCGGCCATGCTGCCAGCGGCTCTGCAGCGCAAAAAAGTACCATCGCTGTTCTCAGCATCAGTGCCCATGTCGTAACTCTGGGTTGTCTCCCCTTCATCTGAAGATGACTTGCGGTCGACTCTTGTCAGCAGCGATGTCCGGCCTGCAGCAAACCTGGCTTCAAAGCCGAGCTCCAGCGCTTTTCGCCTCAAAGGCACAAACCCAATGGCTGCTTTGGCATTTTCCCGGGCACTGCCAGCATGCAATGCTTCCTCGATCTTTTCCAAAAAGTCAACTGGGCGCACCATCTGGGCCCTTCCACGCGAGGGTGGGGCTCGGCTCTTTAGGTCTACTATGTTGCGCATAGTGGCTAGATAGGCGCTAGCCTGGGAGGAGGACCAGGATAGAAGCCGCATCAGCACCATGCACACCAAGGTCGCAGACCTGTCAGCCCCGTTGTTGCAAGCTATTAAAACAGATTTTCCATTCACCAGGAGCTCAATGATATCAGTGATGATCGGCAAAATCTTGTCCAGCTGAACGTCCCCCTGGGCCGCATCTGTTCCGTCCACTGCGTCAAAGACATACACTTGAGGCGTCTCCGGGACTGCAGATGCACAAGCAGGCCAGACATAGCCCACCTCATTCTGTGACAGGAGCAAGGTGTTGTGGACTGCCTTCTCACCACCCAGCCACAATCTACCATACTTCTCGGTCTCAAAGATCAAAGTCATGGGATGCCTGGGCAGGGCAACCCACTAAGTATACAGCAAACACATCGCAAAGAAAGTGCGCATGGGTTAAGTTATCTCATACTTACCGCCTTATAGTGTATAAATATTTATATTAATATAGGCGACTATATATATATACCCAAGTAAAACAACACCATTACAATCATATGAATGGTACCGCCACCCAACCCCATGCAGCACCTCTTGTTGTATTCTTCCCTGGCGAACTTCACGCATTCCACAGACCCGTAGTCATCCACGACAAGGAACTTGTCCAACTCCGACAAGGCCTCGCTCAAGCCTGCCGCTGTCAGTTTGGCACCAGGCCCCAGGCCGTGAAACGCTCTGGACCGAGCATCTGCAGGCAGGTATGCCTTTGCCAAGTTTCCGTTCCGCACATTGTCCAAAGACCTTGCACTGGAAAGCTCCTTTGACAGGGCCATGGCGATTGTGGCTAGCCTTGGCGGTCACTCAATCCTCTTTGCAAAAGACTTGGGCCAGAAGAAGCGGGCGAGCACCGCAATTCTCATTGCATGCTGTGACAGCAGCAGCTCGCAGCAGCAGCAATTTTAAATTACAGCTACAAGGACTTTAACTTGAACTTTAAGAAATAACACAACCAGATGAGATCAACAAGACAAATACTGACTGGATTTATGTTTATAGTCTATAGTCTAGCCACGGCCAATCCCAAACCATCCCACATCCAGCCCACTCAACCCAGTCCTGTCCAAGGACCAGGAAAAAAGGCGACAAAATCGTCAACAAACCTGGTCCTAGACCGTTTAGCATTCGGCTTCTCATCTTCGCACTGCAGCATCATATGCAGGAAGGTTTTTGCCTGCCTGCGGGCCACAGCCCACTCCGCTTGCAGGCCTGGAGGCTCTGCACCCATGACCACCAACTTTTCAGTCAACACTTTCCTGACTGATTCTTTGAGGTCATTCAAAAACTTCCCCCTGCGAGTGCTCTTGGATACACAAAACGAACCAGGTAATATACCGAGATGCTTAGTTGCCCTTTCAATGACGTTTCCATTTCGGTGCTGCGCGCAAAGACTTGGAAATACGAAAACATCTTGCTGCACTACTGAATGCAAATGCTTTAGCAATCGGATGTTTGCTGGGTGCTGGTCACAGGACACCAGGACAGCTGAAAACTTAGCTGCTTCTGAATGGATGAAACCAGGCCTGAGGCCGCCCTCGTCCAGACACAACGCACCCCACATGCAAGATGCCGTTTTGCGAGGGAAAGCTCTTGGCGGCCTTGCTATGTCAATTTCCAAGTCGTGGCCCTCAGCATGGATGCTCAGTTGGCTGTGGCTTGCCAATATTGACCAGCTTCCTGCTCCATCCTGGTCCAGCGAAACGTCCAACTCTGTCTCATCAAACATCATGTTCAAAATTTGATACAGCACTTCCTTTTCTCCCTGCCGATTTCTCTCCGATGCAATATGTTTTTTTTGGCAATCAAGGATACAGTTGGCAATGAAGGTGCGAGCTTTGATCACATGCGATGGGCTTGCCCCATCAACCTCCCTGGCAGATTGCCTGACAGATGCATTAGCCTGGCCAAAGGCCGCCCTCAACATCGCCTCAGGCGTCCACTTCTTCCAAGCTCCCTGCCCTTTTGGCTTGGGCCTGGCGTCATCAGCCGGCTGCAAAGGCAACAAGTGATCCATGGTTCTGTGGCGCCCCGAAGCATTGGAAGCCATTGCCTGCAACCTAAAAGCTTGCCTCCTGTGATCCTTATCTTTTTTCCGCAAGAAGTTCTGCCTGCCTCTCTTGGCATTCATTCGCCTTGCTCTTGCCCGGAAAATGGCACGGGCGCCGCGCCCAATGCCCCTACCACGCCCAAGGCCACCACGCCCAAGGCGGCCAACCCGTGCACCAGGTCGAAGACCGGGCTGATCATCTTGACCTTCTTGTTCTTGCTGCTGGTCACCAAGTGCTATCCCTGCTAAGTCATGCAGGCTCAGCATTCGCCAAGCAATGCAAATCAAAACAACATTCAGTCGCAAACCCAGCGGTAAATTGAGAACACGAAGCAGCTTGAACCCAAAATGGCAATGCGATTCTGTTTGTTGCTTGCTGAAAACCATGCAGTCGATTTTTAGGCTAGCTATAAGCCAACGCTTGATATTTGCAAGTGAAACCACGTCACAAAGATTTGTGTACTTTTGCTAACCATGATTGAAAATTGTCGGTTTTGGCGGAATCTTTGTTGGAAAAGTCAAACAATGCCAGAAACTTTCGAACAAATTATTGAAAGAATTGCGGCAACATTTGAACAATTGTTGAAACAATTGCAGAAACATTTGAACAATTGTTGAAACAATTGTAGAAACATTTGAACAATTGTTGAAACAATTGTAGAAACATTTGAACAATTGTTGAAACAATTGCAGAAACATTTGAACAATTGTTGAAACAATTGCAGAAACATTTGAACAATTGTTGACACAATTGCAGAAACATTTGAACAATTGTTGAAACAATTGCAGAAACATTTGAACAATTGTTGAAACAATTGCGGGAACTTTTGAACAATTGTTAAAACAATTGCGGAAACATTTGATATAAGTTTAAATGCTCCCCTTGTAACCCTTCACCAGAAGCCTTTTGAAAACACTCAAAATATAATATATATATATATTTATTTAATTATTTATCAAAGGAAATTTGAAGTCTAACTTCCGTGTTACGGATCTTTGGACGTCATGAAGTCCCACAGCAAAGAAGTCTCACAGCAAAGAGATCTCACAGCAAAGAAGTCTCACAGCAAAGAGAATCCACAGCAGCGAAGAAGTTTCACAGCAAAGAGGTTTCACAGCAAAAAAGTCTCCCGGCAAAGAGATCTTACAGCAAAGATGTCTCACAGCAAAGAGATCTCACAGCAAAGAGATCTCACAGCAAAGAGGTCTCACAGCAAAGAGGTTTCACAGCAAAAAAGTCTCACGGCAAAGAGATCTTACAGCAAAGATGTCTCACAGCAAAGATCTCACAGCAAAGAGATCTCACAGCAAACAAGTCCCACAGCAAAGAAGTCTCATAGCAAGGAAATCTTGAAGCAAAGAGATCTCACAGCAAAGAGGTCTCACAGCAAAGAAGTTTCACAGCAAAGAGATCTCACAGCAAAGAAGTCCCATACACCTTCAGCTGTCAGATTTTGTGCGAAGTCTCGCACCAAAGCTTCGTTTTCGCATCTTCAACTTTCAGATTTTGAGGGATGTCTCGCACAAAAACTTCGTTTTCACATCTTCAAGACGTCTCGCACCAAAGCTTCGTTTTCACATCTTCAACTTTCAGATTTTGAGGGAACTCTCTTGCACCAAAGCTTCATTTTCACATCTTCAACTTGCAGATTTTGGAGGGATGTCTCGCACCAAAGCTTTGTTTTCACATCTTCAAGGTTCAGATTTTGAGGGGTGTCTCGCACCAAAGCTTCGTTTGCACATCTTCAACTTGCAGATTTTGAGGGATGTCTCGCACCAAAGCTTCGTTTTCACATCTTCAACTTTCAGATTTGGGGGCGATGTCTTGCACCAAAGCTTTGTTTTCACATCTTCAACTTTCAGATTTTGAGGGAGCACTCGCACCAAAGCTTCGTTCTCACATCTTCAACTGTCAGATTTTCAGGGAGGTCTCGCACCAAAGCTTCGTTTTCAAATCCTTTTCAGATTTTGAGAGAAGTCTCCAACGAAATGGCTTTTTTTGAAAGTTGGCGGATGCACGAAATGAGTGTTTTGCAGGACAAAACGTGTCTGGGAAGATGGATGGGGAAGCTTTGCCGTGCGACGGGTGCGGAACACTCTCGGCTGTATACCGTATTCCGGGATCATTCTCGGATCGGCTGTGTGCGTAACTTTTGCAGCTGGACATCGTAAATCGTATTGGAGTGGCTGCATCAAGGTTGCGATAGTGATTTGTCAGCAGATTTTCTTATAATTTTGGCGCTGATGATTTTCATTTTTAAGTTCCTTGAAAAAAGTGCTTCCAAATCTTTTTTTTAAGAGGCCAGGGCGTTGATTTTCTGAGAAGCGTTGCATTTTGGAGCATCAGATGGCCAGGTTTCCTAAGAAGGTTTTGCGTGACAGGTGCAGCACTTTGTGTGACCTGGCCTCAGATTTTCGTGGCAGGCGCAATATTGTAGACAGATGGAGTGGAAAAATCGCAAAACGCATTGGTGCGAGGCCGTCAGTTCTGCACTCAACTTTCCATTTTTGAAGGGGTCTCGCAGAATTGCTTCGTTTTTGATCTTGTCGATCTTTTTGAAGACATCTCGCAGAATTTCGTCGTTTTGGAAGTGTTAACTTTCTTTTTTTGAGGAAGTCTCGCAGATTGCTTCATTTTGGACCTTCCAACTTCCACTTTTCAATGATATCTTGCATACTTGCCTCCTTTCAGATAGATAAATAATAGACAGATGGATAGATAGCTAGATAGATGGATAAAATAGAGAGAGGGAGAGAGAGACAGAGGAAAACGGAGCTACAGAGATTGGGCGAGATTGCCAGAGAGATAGATACATGGATAGAGAATTAGAAAGATAGTGAGAGAGAGGGAGAGGGAGAGAGAGAGATAGATAAATAGATAGATAGGTAGACAGACAGATAGATTGCTTGATAGACAGACAGACAGACGGACAGACAGACAGACAGACAAATAGAGAAATAGAGAAATAGAGAAGGAGAGGGAGAGGGAGATAGAGATAGATGAAGAGAGAGGAAGAGAGAGAGAGAGAGAGAAAGAGAAAGAGAGAGAGAGAGAGAGAAAGAAAGAAAGAAAGAGGGAGATAGAGAGAGAGAGAGAGACTCAGAGCCCCAACCACCTTTCGGTCCATCAGTTGGTTCGCACTACCATCCATCCATGCATCACAACAACTCACCTCTCTTTGAAACTTCCGCCACCGCCTTGTGCAGTACTACTGGTATATTGGATTACAACCCATGTGTAAACTAGTTAACAAATTCTAGGGTCCATCTGAGTAATTGGATGTATATCCCAGATACCAAGTGGAAAACCATCTTTTTTAATCAGTGAATCGTTTAACTCAACGGGCCATGTTCCATAGCTACGCTCGATTACCAGAGTGGGCAATATCAATTTACGATTTCTGGGATGCACCCACAAGTCTCAGCTGTTTCCGACTGGTTTTTTCTGACCAATTTTGGGTAGCCTCATTATGGCTCCGCTAAATATCCAGTGAGAAGCAATGGCACTCATATCCTTATTTGTCAGGTACTAAGTGAGATAATCCTCTGAGTTTCTGCCTCACTATGGGCCAAGCACAGTCGAATCCCCTGGTTTATCATCACGTTCCCCAAAAAAAGGGGCTTCCAAAAAATGGGGCTTTTCCGAGAATTTCCACCCACAAGAATAAGCATTGGTGATGTTTCTGCAAAGTAAAATAAGGTCAGCTTGAATGGTGCCAGAAACAAAAATGACCATTACCAGCTCCTTTGCAGGAACTCCTCCCTAAGGACAGAAATATTTCAAACGGAAAATTTTGTTTGTCCTTGATTTTACTCCACTGTGGTACCCATAGAACAACTATCATACCTTGCATAATTATGTATATATATATATACATACATACAATATATATATATATATGTGTGTGCAAATATATATATGTGTGTTTATGTGTATATATAACAAAATGATTATAATATTATATATATACATATTCATCTATAAAAATATTTATCTATCTATCTATCTAATCTGATCTAATCTAATCTAAACTAAATCAAACAAAACCATTCTATGTATCTATCTATATCATACACATACCCATAGTCTTTTGTGTCCCATCATTGTTGTTGAGATAGCACAGGTGATAACGGCACTGGGCGCACCCATTTGGTCATCACCATGGATGGCATGGCAGGTGGTAAAGCCGCAAAGCCCGCCAGGGCGTACTCGGCGTAGCGCTGAAAAAGTATGACCCTATGGTACTGTACCTCCATGTCAGACTTGTGTTTTTCCTCTGTCTATGTAATGTAATGTGATAATGATGTAATGTTATGTAATGTAATGTAATGCAATATAATGTAATGTATGTATGTGTGTATGGAATGTGTATGTAAAAAAGCATGCAAAAAAAAAAAACATGTTAAACTATGTAAGAAACACATGAAACAATATGAAAACGAATGGAACATATGAATAAATATGTATAAAGTATAAATATGTGTAAATACGTAAACATATGTAAATATATATGTATAAATGTGTATAAATATGCATATATATATACATATATATATATATATATGTATATATATATGTATGTACATTACATGTATATACATATATTATAATCACAAATATATATATATATATAATATACATATATATGTGTACATTACATTTACCTCTATCTTGTACTATCTTCCTATCCTGGATTACATGTATAGATTCTCAAGGTGCCCATGACTTGGGCCGGTATTTTGAGTAGCACAAAGATGGGAGAGTTCTCGAGGTATTCCAAAGGTAAACGTTTACATAGCAATGGAAAGATCCACCATTTTTCATGGGAAAACTCACTATTTCAATGGCCATTTTCCATAGCTATGTTAAATTACCAGAGGGTATTCCAAACCTCCAAGTTTTGTTTTTCTCCACACTAGATTTCCAGGGTGATACTTGGCTGGACTCCATCCCGCATTCTCAACCGGAAAAAAACATGAAAACATGTGGGGGACATCGTCCAGTGTAGATCTCAGACATGATCAAATGTCTCCAGGTGCATGGATGTGCATCGCCCCCTTTCATATGGAACATATTGGAAAATTACCGGTTTTGACCCATCCCCAGCTTCTGTCTCAAGCTTTGCTCAGCACTGAGCACCCCTGCTGTCAGTGATGTCTTACCCACCTGGCTGCACGGAAGGGCAATGTCCGTGATGCCAGTGCCAGAAACTGACTTTGCATTCCCTCATGCTTCTTGGTTAGCATCCCCATGTTTCTTGTGCCAT